ATATATATAATGATTTATGTTTTTTTTTAACTACAGCATTAGATTGCAAGACATTGCTAACCTGTAATTGGAAATGATGCAGTAGATCTATTACATCCATATCCTTAGCTTTATTAGAATGTCTGAAATGTTTCTGAATAAAGTGATATTTTTCCATTTATTTTAAATGTAGGGACGAAACTCTGCCAGATGCAACACTCAGCACAGAATCCCCTGAAACTTTGCCAGATGAAACACTTAGCACAGACATTGGTGGCACTGATCCTGATTCGACTATCGTGATGGATTTGGATGGTAACTAATCAGTTGTCACTCTCGTCATTAATTCTGGGACAAAAGTTTTAAAATATTATAATTTTTTTTCCAAAAGTTTATCCTTTTTTTTAGCTAATTGACTTAAATCCTAACAGTTTTTGCGCACCGCTCTTCATTTTTTTGTTTAAAGCCAATTCTAAAGCAGCTGATGAGAAAATTGCATGATGATTTATGTCTATATCTGGAAGTATATTTTATAAGTATCTAGGGAGCTCTCCCCCTGTTACTAGGGAGCTCTCCTTAAAGTTCAATGTTTTCCACAAAAGAAAAACATTTTGTGTTCAAAACAAATAATTATTGTTGCCTGTAATGAAGGAATGTAAGAACATTTTGTCAATATGTAAATCGTAACCAAATAGTCGATTATCACAATTAGAAAAATAATCATTTGATCTAGAAAAAAATCTTTACCTATGGAATGCAGATTGTGTAACAAAATAAGAAAAAATAAGCCAAAAGTAATTTTATTAGATGACGAAATTTTTAACGATTTAAATTGGGAACGGTTTATATCTTTCTTACGTTAAATTTCTTTATAGTTAAAAATGTCAATATGAATGTTCAGACTTACGTGCGGCAACTCTTTTTTTCGGCACTTAATTGACAATCAACTCGAACCCTAGTTTGTAAAATAAATATCTCGAGAAGAAAAAATAAATTTTTCTACAACAAAAGATAAATAGTCGATATCTAAATCTAAAAATCACAAAAAGCATTTAAATTTTTATTTTGATCAAATAGGAATTACGTAAAAAAACTCACGTTAAGCTCACAAATTAAAAAACAATCTCAACTCCTCTCAGTGGTATACAGGTTGGTTATATATAAATGTTTTTTTTATGTAAATGTCATAAAAGATATATATATATATATATACATAGTTTTATATATTTATATTATAGTTTTTGTGCAGCAGGACAAACAGAATTGAACTTTTAACATAATATATATATTTAAATGTGAAAACAATCGTAAATTGTATAGCATGAATAGGATATAACTTTTCCAACCTTCTTTAACCCTTACTTTGTCCCTCTAGAGAGCTTACCGTTTCGATAAATGGAATAAAAAAATTGCCATAGATATTATGATCTATGACCCCAAAAATGATGCTAAAACGATTTAGTATCTTTACGGGTACGAAATTTCGAAATTTTCAGACAAAAAAAAACTCATTTTTTTGGCTCGGAACTTAATTCTTATTGGTTGAAAACCTAAAATAGACTCGGAATGGTATTTTTTACCCAAACTTCGCCATTTTTCGTGACTATTATTGAAAAGAAATTGTGATAAAAAAAACCTTTAACTCTTACCCCTAGTATGGCGCAGGTTCTACTCCTAATGAAAACTGTTTTTTTTTTTTTTAATTTTTTGTTTATAATAAAATAACAATTTTATTTAAAGTATGCGTATTAAAACTATTATTTTAAATTTAAAATAGAATCTTCCAATTTCAAAACTGAAAAAAATATTTTTTTAAATGAAAGTAGTACTTACATTAAAATTTATGAACTGAGCCTAGCGTTTATTTCCCACCATTTTCTCAAAAAAATCCGTTTTATATTATTATGCATTAAGTGTTGAGCAAAACAAAATGTCAGAAAAAAAATGAGTTAATTAAATAATTTTGTTCACAGTTTTAGAGATAATTGTGAGATAGTTTTGATAGAGATAATTTAGAGATTATTCTCAAAAATATCCTTTTTATATGGTTGTACAAAAACAATGTCAGTAAAAATGAGTTAATTAAATAATTTTGTTCACAATTTTAGAGATACTCTCTAACTGCGTCTTCAGAAAAGACTGGTTTCCTCCTGATCCAAAGACGAAGCAACTCTTGAAAGATGAAAGAAAGGCTGAACCGTTTTGTCAAACTGATAATAATATGTATTTGTACGGCACAAAATCTTTTAAAGATCTTAAGGAAGATTTGCAAGCTCTTAAAACATGCACACATTCCGAAAGTAAGCAACATATTTTTTTCTATACTTTAATTGCTATAAATGGCAAGTTTCAACTAATTTGATCTTTGTTTTAGTTATGAATAATTTTTTAAGGGCTGATGTTGTTGTTGTTATTGTCGTACGGCATTAAGGATCGTCGTGCGATTGATCTTCCTTTACAGTGGCACCATCTATTGCCAAGAATTCGACTTTTATCACCCTCATACTTGTTCATAGAGAGGACGCATTCATGAATCCATACATTCATCCACAGATGGTAATTTTGAACTGAACCAGAGCACCAACAATCTCCAATTCAGTACCCCCAGAGGTACTGATTTGTTATGGGAACATGGAGGATTTTGTGACCCGACAGACTTTAACGTGCACCAATCACCGTTTTTTCGATCCTGTGTGTCCTTACATTTGATGAAGTTGAGTTGAGCCATGAAACTACAACCACGCTTGTGCTTATATAGCTGTTAAAGAAATCAGGAAAAAATAATAATAAACTTTTTACACTGGCAAGACAATTACTACGAAAAAGAAAACATTTTACAAAATACTTTTGAGCTCGCAGTATACGACTACGACACTTAACTTTTTAACTTTAACTTTAACTTTTTCATTTTAAGACACTTGTTAAAATAAAACTAAAAGTATAATTATATGCATATTAATTTAATTATATATTTATTAAAATAATAATTTATTCTTACAGCAATTTATGACTTTTTTGTAAGGATTAGTGCTATTTTTAGAATCAATTAATATTGCGAGAATTTTATAAAATTTTATAAAGAAAATCACTTTTTCTGTAAAATATTTGCATTATATTACATTGATGTTTTCATTTTTATGGTAAAAATTCAGTTCCATTTTTAATAAAATGTAAATAGTAACATAAAAGTTTTAATAATATAGACAAATATAGCATATTATAACTCTACTACTTGTAGTAACTCAGTCGAACATCTATTCTAAGAACCTTTTTAATTCATAAATATTTCGCTATTTCTATGCATATAATTGAAAATAACATTAGAACGATATTTTATTATTCTCCCAAGTAATTGAACGAACTTGATCTTAGGGGGAACATTAAAACAAATCGTTCAGCATTTGGAAAAATTATATATTTATTAAAATAATAATTTATTCTTACAATAATTTATGACTTTTTTGTAACGATTAGTGCTATTTTTTAGAATCAATTAATATTGCTCGAATTTTATAAAATCAATTTGTTAGCTCAATTCATTTGCATTTTTAACTTGCGGGTTTTTTGCAAAACCCCTTATATTTGTTCAAGTGGGTTTGCACAAGGACATACGCCATTTTCTGAAACACTTCTTGTGCGCATGCGTCACTTCGAATTGCACATGCGTCCATGAAAAAATATCAAACCTTCTTAAGTGAAAATGAGAGATTTTGCAAACATCGGGAAGTTTAAAACGCTAACGTAGTGGAAAATCCTTCTAACTTAGACCGCAAAATCAAAACAAATGAACGTAATGAATATGAACGTAGATGAGTATGAGCGTAGACTATCTCTTTAAAGCTATGCATACGATTCAAGATACTTTGCTCTACGTAAAACTGCAGTTCTGTAAGCAAAGAAATTTGGTAGATTATAGTTTTTGATGAGCCGACCTGGTGGCCTAGCGTTTAGCGTGCATGACTGCGGAGCCGCTGGTCGCGGGTTCGAATCCTGCTCAGGGCATGGGTGTTTCGTTCTCTCTGTGTTCTATGTCCTTTTTCCTTTGTGTTTGAATGTGACCAGCCCTATAAACGGGTTTGTGGTTGTGTGACGTGGGTGACGCTGCTCCACAGTCGTGGCTTCGACGAAGGTGCCCACTGGGTAACGAGAAGAGAGTAGCAGTTCTGGCATTTCTGTGGCCAATGGGACAACCCCCAAGTGCCCGCCATTAAAAAAATAAAAAATAAAAAAAACTTTAACGAGTGTAAAATCCTTATCAAAATAATGATCAGGACCCAAATGTAAAACAGTATAATTGATGATAAGAACTCAACTGGCTTCAAAAAATATGAAGAGGCAAGTAAAAGTCGAAATGTTTCGAGCGTTCAAATATAGTCGCCCATTCTCAAGACTTGTCAGGCTTGAATAACTAGTGACTTTAATTATTGGACGCTCAAAACATGTCTATTTTTATTGCCATCTATTATTTTTTAAATCAATGAAGTTTTTATAATTTCGATTCAGTTTCTTGGGATTATCCATGTGACACAACCTGACATCCAGTAACACAACATATTAAATTATTTCACTCGATATTAAAATAAGTTTTACATAAATTATAGGCACAGGTTCTTAGATTGAAAAAAATAATAATTCACTACGTTATAAAAAATCAATGCAGTAAAATTTTTCTTTTCTTTTTCTGCTGCAGCCTTAAAGACATAAAAAAATCCGTTTGCAATTGAAATTTCAAAAGTCGTATTTTTTCTCGTTTTTATTTTAAAGGAATAATATGTTTCGATCAAATAGATTTCATTCTGGAAATAAAGAAATTATTGAGAAGGTTCCTTGGGGCAATATCATTCTTATCTTCTTTTGACGAAATATAGGAGAAATTGGTTTTCACAGTTTCTGAAAAAAGTATGTTAGCCTTCTTGGCGCTTTTTTTTCTTTATCAAAATAAGTTCGGAAATTGAGTATTTTTTATTTCATTTTTTTTAAATCAGATGATTCTAAAATTGGTACACGGCTTCGGAATCTTCTTACGAATTTCAATTTTTAGTATTTCCTGCTTAACAAAATAAGGCATTTTCCTGATAACAAATTATACTACAATAATATCTTGGGAATCGAGCTAAAGTCAAAAATCAGGCAAAATAGTTTATCATATTATCCGGAGAAAAATCTACCTGGTATCACAAAGAAAGAGTAAAAGATATAATGAAATAGTTCTGTGAATCACACGTGGTCAGATAACTAAAAATTTAATTTCACAACTAAGATGTTAGGACGACATTTATGATACTGAAATATTTTAAGAAGCTAAAAAATTTTGGCTACATATTCGACAGCTTTTTATGTTCGGTATCTTCATACTCTTTGCAGTGACTTATAAAACATCAACACTATTTTAGATAATCAATGTTAAAGTCCCAAGAAACGAAAAAAAACAACGAAAAAAACAATCAATATTCCTTTTTCGAAAAACATAGTATGTTTAGTAAATAATTAGCCGATTTGCATCAAATAATTTTAAACAGCAGAATATTTTTAATTTCTTAACAAGTTTTATTCTTAGCTAGCAGACAATGATTCTTTTTAAAAAAAGCTTGACAATAATTTTAAAAGGAACTTTACTTTAAAGAAAACCTAAATTAAAGTACTAAAAAATTGATTAGTATATTAATGAAGAAATAATATACGTAGTAGGGTAAAGAATAAAATTTTTAAAAATGTTAAAATTTAATCAAATTGTTGGTAAAATAGTTCTGCGAAACACACCTGGACACTTGATTCAAAAATGTCTTTTAAGATCAAGACGATATATAAGAGGTTGAGAAATTTGCGATGATGTGAAAGATGCTTAAAAATGTTGACTACCTATGATTATTAATATTTATAAAATATATATTCAAGAAATTGATAAATATATTATTCCAAATCTATGGCATAGGTATATATATTATTGAAATTGTATCAGTTATTGAGAAAAAAAACTAAAAAATAAAAAATAATCACATTAAATAAGCAAAATCTGGTCTATAATCATATTCTATTACAAACATGCTTTTAAAAAACTCGACATTGGTTGAATAAAATTTTTTCATGTAGATTTTTATTCAAAATGTTTAATTCAAATTTCTTGATTCAAATTTCTTCTAACTTTAATTCAAATGTTTAATTCAAATTGCAAATAAATTATTACACGACTAAAAAAAAAGAAGTATTTTATAGTTTAAAAGAAATAAAAATAAAAAGATTAGCAATCGTTCATTAGCGAAAAGAAAATATGAGTGAAATTCTACGCTGTGCGCGCGAAGTCAAGTTTCTCGTAAGTTTATCACATTTTAATATTAATCGCCAATTTAATTATTTCTTCATTTTCGCCAAATTATTTTTTTTTAAATAATTAATTTAATTTTTCTCAGTTTCTATTAAATAAAAACAGTTGAAACTTTAGATTTTTCAATTTAAAAATACGTAGATTAATGTGGTATAAAAAAATTCATACCTTATAATTCAACATTTTTTCATCCTTAATTTAATTTAAAAAAATTTTGTCATAAAATTATCTTTGGGTAAATGAGTTTTATGAGTGGGTGTAATTTTTTTTAAGTGCTTAATTAGTTTTTAAAATATGACTAAAAACGCAAAAAGTGAAATTAACATTAAGGAGTCCAAACTTTGAATCGCTCTCCTGACCAAACCATGGGGACCACAATTCCCAGATTGTGGCTACCCCAAATATGTAAAAAAATATATATGTTTATTCAGAGAAAGTCATTTTTGTGTCCGATTTTGTAAATTAATTAATAGTTAGCACTAAACATATAGCATATTTGAGGTCACCCCCAGAAACCATTAAGATTGGCACTTAGTACATGAAAATCCGATCATTAGAACAAAAGTTATTCAGGGTAATATCTTTTTTTTTTCATTTTTTTTAGGACTGTTCATATACCTTTTTTATATAAATTTCTTGAATGAAAGAAATCAGCCCTTTTATGACGTTTTCTTGAAAATAATAAGATCGTTAATTGTTCGGATTAGTTCGTGCGAAATGGCGCTGTTGTCAAACGTCGGCTGAATAGCGGTGGAGGTATTTTACCGAAAATCAGTGCAATAGATTTTTATAATAAAACTTGAACGGTTATCATAATTTTCAATAAACATAAACTGATTGGGAAGAATGCTTTTCTAGTAATCTTTTTTTTCCAAAAATGAAGAGAAAAAAAAAGACATTTGTGTACACTCTAGCCTAGCCTATGGGTCGCCAAACTTTTTTGATCATCGACCCCTATATAATTTTTCAAAATCTGCATCGACCCCCATAAAAGTAATTTTCGGTTAATTAATATTAAACTTTATTAGATACTCTGTTCGGACAATTTTATGATTTTAAACATTTATTAAAGTAATAGTACATTGCGTAACAATAGTTTCATGAAAAATATATTAATGTTGAAATTTAAATACCTTAATATTTATTAAATAATAAGTAATTATAAATAAGTAGAAATAATAAGTAAAGTAACTACAGATTTATAGATTCTTAATCAATGAGATGGTTGTATACCTGGTGTTTTTATGCAAGGTTCGCTATATTGGGTTCAAAATTGGAAACTTTTTATCTTAAATCCACTCGAAACTCCACATTTAATTTATTTCTGTACTTAGTAAAGATTGAATTTACATGACTGAACCCGGCTTCAACCATATAGGAATTTGGAAATGCCAGCATAAATAGCTGAGCTATTTCGTAAAGTTTTACATATTTTTGCATTATATTTATATTTGCCCAAAATTTGCTTATTGTTAAATTTTTAAAAAGCGTCTTTGCTTCAAGATCCGATAATAATTCAGCAAGCTCATCTTGAAGGTTGATGTCCACGTTTTCGATTTGAGCAGAAAATGGCACAATAATCCAATCAGGGATGTCAATGTTTTCCAAATCAACAAAGAGCAGTTTAAAATCGTCGCTCAATTTTTGAAATGGTGTGAAAACTGCTGTTAAAAATGGTTTATAAGGGAAAAATATTTCTTTATTAAAGAATTATTATATTTTGATTTGAAATGTGCAATGGGAAATATTAATGTAGTATTTTATTAATACTTGCCTTTTGCATAATTTGTTTATTATATTGCTATTAGAAATACATTTTTTTTTAAAAAAATACCAGTTCGATTTCATTTAAAATTTACTTCAAATAATTTCATAAAGGAGACAAAGAGATTATATAAATTATGAATTATCGATTACATCTAAATATAATCGGAGGTTTCAAAACTTATCATTGGTTATTAATTCCAAACTCGACGAACCCTTTTCACACTTCCGTGGAACCCTATGGTTCCAAGAAATATCATTTTGGAACCGCTGGAATGACATAGCTGCCAATTTTACAATTTTTGCTTGAGACTTTTCATACTGATAGTTGAAAAACGGAGTTGCTGTTGTCGTCAAACATTGAGGCAAAGGGGGTGCGATTGTTCTTGCTTTCCAGTGTCGCCATCTCTGACCAAGAATTCATCATTAATCGACTTCAAGAATGCATTAATTCATTCATCCACAGATCATAATTTTGTCCTGAACCAGACAACGATCAATCTTCAATTCAATACCCCCAGAGGTATTGATTTGTTATGGGAATATGGAGAACTTTGTGACCCGACAGATTTAACGTGCTCCAGTCACCATTTACAACACGGGCTCTCTTCGTCCGACAGGATTCGTACTCTCGTTATCACAAACGTGAGTCCAGCGCCCTGCCAACAAGGCCATCCCGGTCTTGAAAAACGGAGTATATGTATTAAAGTTTTTAAGAATTTTTAAAAAAAATTGTCAGGCTTTTAGATGAGACAAAAAGTTTAGGGTTCTGACTGCGTTTTTAAAAATTCGTTAAAGAACCAATTTTTGAATTGGTTCTTTTAAAACCCATTAAGAAGTTGGTTACCTCCTGAAAATATTCCTCGTAAAAATCGTAAGAGTTGGCAGATATGGAGTGAAATCAATACTTTACCCAGATTCAAAATCTTGCATTTCACTTCAACTAAATATTTTTTTTCTTCAATGCACAGGCAAAACAACGAAAGCAAGTACATACATGTTCCGGAGAACAGTTGAAGAATCGCCGTATTATATGCTCGCTACTGGCTATCCTGTTGAAGTATACGAAGGGACTATTGCAGACCTAGAAGAGAACGATTTGAGGAAATACAGTTTAGACTCAGATTGGTTGAGCTACATCATAATCTTGTTCGTGAAAAATGAATCCTTGTTTCTAGCTAAGAATACATACGAGAGAATTCCCTACTTTTGCGTGAAAGATTCAAGACCTACCTCGACACCAGATTGGGTGTTTCTTTCTACGCCAAGGTGAGTGACAAAAATTTGAAGGTAAATCAAATGTGATCTAGACATTTTATTTATTCATTTTCTATTTTATAACCGTTGTTGAACAGCCGACTTAATTTTTTGGGAGTTTACGACTACTAATGTTCAGCTCCGTAGCCTTGTAATTTTGAACCCAATCTAGAAAACAATGGAACTCCTAGATCAAGATGTTAAATCCAATCATGGTAAGTGACGCCAGAGGGGGTATGTGCATTTGTAGATTTAGTAGTTGTATGTAACTGCAGCGTGATGAACCAATCATCGCCACATTCTTTAATAAAATTTTTTGTTTTTAAATTAAGTCACATAGCATTACTTATAATCCTTTTATACAGTCCAAAGCTATCGACGACCTTACAGTAGAAATTCGTTTTCGTGTGGGACTTCTTGTTGGAACTAACCCGAATTTGTGTCACAGGCAGAGGAAAACACTCTAAAACCTCCCACAGATTGCCTGACGTAAATGGGACTCTAACCCATGATCCGTCTACCAGTCAGGATATTGTACGTCAGCACTAAGGTCGGTGCAAGCCATATCGATCAGCCATCGCCGAGATTCAAACCCGGTTCACCTCATTCGAAGGCGAACGCTCTATTCCCTGAGCGATCACGGCTCGGTCTAGACATTTAAAAAAATGCAGCAGGAAGAATAAAGGGAAGAAGAGTTAATTTTAAAACGAATTTTTGCACTTCCGGTCTGTTTTGTACCACCCAAATTACGATCTGTGATAGATGGATGATATATGAATGTGTCCTCCCTGTGAAACGGGATGTGACGTACGTATGTTGTCACCGGGTCATCCTCAGGGATGTTTCCCAGACTGTCGCCAATAGCCCTATTGTGCAACTCCAGTGCGACTTAAATTAAAGTACCTACTTACCTCACTTTCTTCAAAATTTTTAATATTACCGTAAACCGGGGCGAGTCTACCCATCCAGGGGCGAGTCTACCCATTTTAGTTTTATTTAATTTTCACTACTTTAAATTGCAAATAAAAAAATTTTTACCGACTGAGGACTTAGTTCAGACTCTAAGGAAGATGGCGCTGTAGTAGTTTGATTGTCTTTTATCTAGGAGAATTAAAAGATTTCCTTCCACCATAATTTATTAGTGGTTTAAGTTTCTATCACTATATCTAGAACTATAAGATGGAGGGACATTTCGAAATGAAATGGTAACAAACAGTTGATATTAGAGGTGAATAACATACCACTTTAGGTAAATACCACTTTTTTCATAAAACCACCTTTTGTACCACTTCAATTATAAAAATCGGGTTAAGAGTCCAAATTAATTGATCAAATAGTATGATTAATTAATTAAAAGATCTTTTCCGTAAGTTATCCTTATTAATTAATCCTTAATTAATTTTTTTTTCAAAAATATCTAATTTGATTCTAGCTTAACGGATGAAAAAAATAAATTATTAAATTCATATTATTACTAACGAGATTTCTTTTTATCTATTTAAGGTTTATTTATTTGTCCACACTTTTTTCTTGAAATCTTTTCTTGGAGTCTTAAGTCTTCAAAACTGGTAACTTTTAATTTGTGATCGGTCCCTAGGTGTCAGAACTGGACAAATATCATATCGCAACAAATGGGCTGTCAACATGAAGCAAAATCTTCGTTATCCATCCCTGATAATGTAAACGGAGATATCAGGAGGAGCCCTGATTATTAAAGCTCATTAAAAAGTGTGAAAGAGCACCATATATGTAATATACCAAGTAATGCATCTTACTATGTAAAGGTAAAATAACACTGGAGAANAATTTTACTTCATAAATATCCTATATAGTAACTAAAATAACAATTTAATAGTAAAATTTGATTATTTACAATGTTAACATTCATTTTAGTAGAATGGGTAGACTCGCCCCATACGAGAGATTTGTCAGCAGTTCTATAAAAATATACAGTAACAGCGTAACTGTTAATATTTCCTAAAATCGATTTCACAGCTAAAGAGGGATAAATAGCGATTCCGAAACACCTATTAAAAGCCTTTTTTCTTAAATATTTACAAAAAGTTTGACCACTTGAAAGTTGACAAATTGAAAAAATGGGTAGACTCGCCCCGGTTTACGGTACTGGTTCAGCATGGAATCACAAAACTTGAAATACACTTTCAAGTCATTTGGCGCGACGAATTTCTGAGAGACATTCCTGATTAAGCAGCAAAGCACAGTGTTTCAGGAGATAGATTACAAAACAACAGATTTCCAATGCTAAACCATCAATTCCAATTGCCTCCCTATAAGATTGGAGTGGTCCATATCTTTTGCAAATGGAGAAAGATGTGCGACGCCATTTTTCTAAAGCAAATACAGAAAAACAGAATTTATATCAAAATTCAGAAGTTGAAAATAAAGTATTTCCCTTCAAATATAGCAAATGTCCTTTCAAAACAAATGTATTTTATTCTATGTTTACACATTCGTACATTTTTCTTCAGAAGGTTGAATGATTATTTTGCCCGAATGTGGCAACAAATTTTGCACAATTTAGATTTTTTTTTAAAAACTATCATTGTAGGAAATACCGGAGGATAGCTTTTAAACTTAAAGAAAAACACTAGTGTGAGGAATATCGGGCAAGTTTATTCCGAACCATGGCACTTTACCTTAAAAAACATCAATGGCAGTCAAGAGCATACCCGGCGATGGCCCTTAAAATTGAAGCATCAGGATTAAAAAGCCGACCGGTCTGTGTAGGGGGCAGGGAACTGTCCTTGCATCAGAAAGGTTCTGGGTTCGAATCCCGGGCAAGGCATGGATGTCCTTTCTCCTTTGTGTGTGTGAATGTGACCCGCTCTATAAACGGGTTTGTGGTTGTGTGAATGGTGCGGCAGAAGTCGAATTCTTGACCATAGATAGCGCCACTGAAAAACAAGAACAATCGCACCCCCTCTGCCTAAACAGGCATACGGCAAAAAAAAAGTCAGGATTAAAAATACAGAGCTATCGTATGCCGGACAATGGTTCTTATCCTTAAAAATAACCAATGGTAAGACTGAACATCATTTCCTACCTATCTAAACCTACAAAAGAAATACAGTAAAAAAGAGAAATCAAAAATCATGTATAAAGCAGTTAAATACTACAATTCCAAAGGAAAGTTGCCCAATGCAGCAGAAATTCCATAAGAAAATTGAAACCAATCGAAAATTCTAAAAAAGAAAATAATCAAAGCTTAACCCAGTCTGGGGACAGCCGGAAAATACTGTAGGCTCTAAGTGCGCGTACGTGACCTCTCAGCAAAAGAAAAAGAGAATTCAAAAAGGTAGGCTTGATGGCGATCCATGGCAACACCAGAAGGCCTCAAAGAATTTAATGAAATATTAGAATTAACAATAGTAGTTACTCAGAAATTAGAACTTAGGAGTTTGAGTGTTCAAACATAATAGGCGAGGCATCAATTTAAAAAAAAAATTTGAAAAAAGGTAACAAACATAGTGTGATGATGAAAAGTACCAGAATTTTCTCAAAACTCATAAAAACAGATACAATTTCAAAAAGAAGAGTTACGGCGGACAATGAAAACAATGAAAATAATGAAAAGTATAAAAATAACAACCGAATCTCACGTTGTCAAGAGTACCAGCTCCATAAAAACACAAAACCTTTTCTATCGCAAGAGCACGACAAATGTCTAAAAATTGCTCTCTCTCTGTACCCCAAAGGCTTTGTAAAAAGTTCTGGAAGTCAGAAAAGAAATACAAAATACAAAAGTAAAATACATAAACTAATTACAAAAGGAAAACATTGGTTAAAAACCTACTTAAAAATATTCCTATTTCAAACCAAGGAGCACAACTTTCTGAAAATCTTTAACCAAACTGAAATTCGATCCACTCTTCATAAGAAGGTATCTTGAGATTAAAGGATTAGTGCTCTACGCTCGCTATTTTGCCAACCAGTTACATCAGAATTACGTTCGCGAACTCGGTGCTTGTCGTTCAGATATCATTAGGCCGTGTCTCCTGTTTTAAGGATTCAGGTTTTGATATGGCAACGACACCACACTGGTTAGGTAGGTAGGTACTTTATTTAGATCAAACTAGAACTGCACAATGGGCTATTGGTGACAGTCTGTGAAACAACCCTTCTTAAAGGCGAGGACTTGGGTCTATTTCCCATTGGCCTCAGAAATGCCCGAATTGTAACTCTCTTATCGTTACCCAGTGGGCACTTGCGGCTTAGCGTCGCCCACGCCATGCAACTAAAAACCAGTTATACCCGTTTATCATTCACACGGAGGAAAGGACATAGAACACAGAAAGAGAAAAAGTTACATTCATGCCTACGGTGAGATTCGAACCCACAACTATTGGCCCCGTAGTCCAGAACCGTAACCACTAGACCAGTGATAGGCTAAACTGTACGAGCTATATTTTTTTCGACAGCTCCATTTTCAAAGATTCATGCAAAAACGACTAATTCATTTGCTTTAGGCTAAATATTTTGAGACAAAAAAATACGCCAATGCATTTATTGTACCGCCACTCTCAACCAAAAAAATGGCAGCAAACAAAGCAGCCAACTCTCGCCAATGTCCTTCGATCCAAGAAAGGAAACATGCTTGCGATAAAAGGTTTTACTCATTGGATCATGACATAGTCGGTATATAACCGTTATCAGCATTTTTCGGTATTTATCGAGAATCGGTATTTATCAAGTGTTGATAATTTTCGGTATGTATCAAATGTCGATATGTTTTATTATTATCCTATTTCGATATTTTTGAAAGTATACGAGAATATGATTTTAATATTGTTATTTCGATAATTAAAAAAACATTGGTATTTGATGATATCTAGATATAATATTAGAATTTTTTATATTGTCTGCGTTCAATTAAATCTTCTACCATTTTCCCACAAAATTACAGTTTACTTCAATTACTTTAAAAGATTTTGTGATTGGCGACTATGGATTGGACCGATAAATTCCATTTTTTTAATGCTTACAAAGCATTTCTAAATATGCTAACACTACTGCATTTGTTCAAAATATAGCGACAAAGCATTGCCAGATACAACGCTCAGCACAGACTTCAGTGAAACCATGCCAGATGCCACGGACTTGATCAAAACTCAGCCAGATACGACTAACATCGCAGATTTATTTGGTAATTACTGCTTTAGTCATAAATTTCTAATATATGACTAAATATATGTATATATTTATTCATATACTTTTTATTCATTATGCCAGATGTCTGAATCTCGTGATAGCATGTGCTGACAACGTAACCAAATTAGTATTCCTAAGGTTATTTGAAAGCACGTATTTCTTTTGTTTATAGTTATGCCCTTAAAACGTGTTACTATCAAACAAAATAATTTAAAATCAACGGTAATTGAAATAAAGAAATAATAAGTTTAGTACTGAAAAGCAAAATTAATGGAGAAATGGCATTAATTCGTTTAGGAGAAATGCAGAAAAAATATTATTATTGCCGCCCATCATTTAATTTTGGTAATAATTACTAATTGAAGTAAAATAATAAGCTATCTACAGAAAAGCAAAACTAATGAAGAAAAGGTAATAATTCGTTAAAGACAACGTAAAAAATTGGCAAACTTCAAGGGGTGGGCAAAAGAATAGAATTTTCTATTTCTCAAGAAATAATTAAAGAATTATTTTATAGCTTTAGAATTATTTAGATCATGGAATTTCTCATACTTATGAATGAAGTTTAAAGTGTTTAGAGGTATAAGGAACCGACAATAAATTACAAACTAAAATTAACGTTTTTGAACACCCTATGCCGAGTAATGTAGCAACAAATTTGCACTTTATAGCATTTATTTTTATTATTATTCGTAATAATTGCGCAAAATCTCGTAAGCCTAGCTTAAATATTTTTGAAGATACGGACATGTTTATTAAAAACTAATTTTTTTTTGTCTTTCTTTTTTTTGTTGTTGTTGTTGTTTTCGCAAATTAAACAAAATTTTAGAGCAATTTAAAAATTAGTCACAAAATTATTGCTTTTAAGCTTGGGACAGATTCGTATAAAACTGAACAAGATAATAATATTTAAAGTAGTTCTTTTATGCTGCTCATGTGCGAAAAAATTTTAAATTTGTTTTTCTTTTTCTCTAACTTTTTCTTTTTTTCTTTTCTTTATACGGCAACTTATAAGAAATGTCTGATTTCAATATCCTACAAGTTCTTAATTATTTTTAAAATGTATATTGAACTAAGTACCCTGTTCTGCTCCGCCTTCTCCTATTTTTAACTTTATAAATAATTTATTTTATAATTTCTTGATAAATAAAATAACAGTTTATGTATATTTTATAGATCTCCTATCTAACTGCGTCATGACAAAAGAATGGATTCCAGTTAATCCATATCCTTATGACGATCCTCATTTACCGCATAGCATTTTAGAAGCTCAGGATTACTGCCACTCCCACGATATGGATTTGTACAGACCTAAAATGCTGATACACTTGAGAGAAGATTTGGAAGGACTCAGAATGTGTACACCATCAGAAAGTAAGAATTATGATGATTTAATTCATAGAATTTTTGATCTAATCATGGGATGTTCAGGCAATAGATCTCAAGCCTAATGTCCGTGAGAATGACTTTAAATATGCTAATTGGTTACTGCGAACGATATTTTAAAATCAGACATAAAAACATTTTGTTATTTATGCTACTTGCCAATAATAGCTAGTCTGCCACCGATAACCAAGCGAATTTAAGATAATAAAACAGATGGTTCTTGTTTTCCAGTTGTGCCATCCATGGTCGAGAATTTGACTTCTGCAACACACGCGCGTCACAGACCGTTTACAAATAGGACCCATTCATATTCCACTGATCATAATTTTGACCTGACTCAGAGAATGATCTAACTTCAATTCAGTATCCTCATAAGTATTTTATTTTAATTTACAACTACTGTTGAACAGCCGATTCAATTTTGGTTTACGACTACTAATGTTTTGAATCCAATGTAGAGAACATGGGAACTCCTGGAGCAAAGTATAGGGAGAAATTTGCCTTCGTGGAGGACTTTTTTTGATGGAACTAACCCGCATTTGCGTTACATGGAGAGGAAAGCCTAGAAGACTTCCCCCGGCTAGTGTGACTGCAAAGGGACTGTCTACCATTGAGGTTATTTTACGTCAGCAATGTGGTTGGTGCGAACCTGGTGTGACGACTTGGTTTACGACTTGGGTTTACGACTACTATGTTCAACTCCATAGCCTTGTAATTTTGAATCCAATCCTTAAGACAAGGAAACTCCTGGATCAGTACCCCCAGAGATATTGATTTGTTTTGGAAACATGGAGGACTTTGCGACTCAACAGATTTAACCTGCATCAGTCTCCATTTACTACACAGGACATCTTCGGCCTGCCACGAACTCTTGGACATAGGACCTGTGCCCTACCAACCAGGTTATCCCGGCCCTTTACTCATTGGTTTGGGGAATTACTTTGTCAAATTTTTTAGCTTCTACCATTGCTTTATACTGCTTACAATTATTTTGATTATTAGCAAGGATGCCATTGCCCATACATATAGCAAGCTCTTCTGGTAATAAAAGTTTTCTAAAGAGATTGATCGATCTCTTTATCGATGCTGTTAGCATTTTAAAATGACTTTGCACTAGCATTGACTGTTTTGTAAAGTTAAAAAATTTAATTGAACTTCAAAATGTCATTTTCCTGGTATGTCCTAAACAATGTTTCCAATAATAACTAGCTTCAAAACTTCCCATAAATTTCTCAATATCTAATTTTTTTAATCTCAACCAGTGTAAGCATTTCTAGAATATACGCAGAGGGT